GCCATCGTTGATTTTGAGATTCATCCAATTGAAGATATCAAAATATCTTGATTGAACAATCTGTATAATCTGAACCTTCATATTTTAAAATCAAGTGATTCTCTTTTCATTCCACCTAATTCTGGGATCACATAGATCTGAAGAATTTATGTGGATCATGCATTTTGAATTCATCTTATGACATAAAAACTTATAAAATTTTAATAGGAGTATTTTATATAAAAAAAAAAAAATGCATGATTGTGACCTATTGAATGTATTTTTTGTGTTGTTTATGATCAAATTTGTGTTAATAGACTAAGTCTGTGTTAACTGTTACTTTTTGAGATTAAGCATATTTTAAATGTGACTATCTGTTTTGATGTTATCAGATCTATGTTAATTGTGATTGTTTGTGACAAGACCTATATTAACATGAGTTTGTTAACAAGAGTTTATTTTTCATAAATTTTAACACGATTCTGTTTGTGGTAAGGTTATAAATTTTTGACAAGAATTTGTATTTCATAAAATGTCTGCATGAATGTGATCCATTAAATGTATTTTCTGTGTTGTTTGTGACCATGTATGTGCTAACAATGACAATTTGTGACCAAATCTATGTTATCCATAACTGACTGTGGTTGTCTATAACCATGCATGTGTTAATTGTGACCATTTATGACTTGTAATGTGTTCAATATGACATGTTGTTTTTATGACTGTGACATGTTATCGCAAATACGTTATCAACATTTTTCCTCTTAAGAAATTATCTCATAATTTACAGATGTTAAGTCACGCTATATCTAAAAGTCGCAATATATCAAAATTAAGTCACATTTTACCATAACGAGGTCACAATTTACCAAAATTAAATAAAAACTTATCAACATGAGTTCACAAATTACCAAAATCAGGTAAAAATAAAATTCTCGTTCACATTATACACAACATATTAATACACTATATTTAACATTAGGGTAAATAGCACAGAACGTCCACACCTTTCAATGTTATTGTGCAAAACTTCCGTATCTTTCATTTTTTGGCATTTTCACCATTACCTTCCACCTTTTATTGTGTAAAAAGTCATTTTCAACCATTTTTTTAATAAAATGATGATTTTACCATTCTATTCAAATGAAACAAAAAGAA